CAGCATATCTAGTATGACTTACAAGGATTGGAGTTTTGTCCTTTTATGGAAAACAGTATCTAGTATGGAGTACAATGACAACCCCCAATCCTACACCCATCTCTAGCTCTTGCAAGCAGGAGTATCAAGTAAAAGTGAATCTTCTGTAGTGTTGGCATCTAACAGATGTACAGTATTACTTAGCTGATCTGGGTAAAGTATAGGACTTTTTAAATAAAGAGAATATGATTAAGAATTACATTTTGACCTCTTTATATGAGGACATTTGCTGTAATGAATACCAAACACTGACTAAATTATGCAAAGTTCTAGCCGTTGTGCAGTCATGAAATCTCGCATAATCCAATTTTACTGCCGTTAAACTTCATACAGCAGAGTATTGTATAGAAGAATACTGTACTTATTGATTAAATAAAAAGGTTAGGCCTAATAAAATGTAATTAATATAAGGATAGCTAGGGCCGGATTCAGGAGTGGGCAAAGTGGGCAGCTGCCCAGGGGCCTCCACACATTACAATATTTTATTAATTTGTTTATTCATTTGGATTATTTTTATTTTCATTCTTTAAAAGTCATGTTTATCAATTCCATCACGTAAAACTATGTTCAGCAAGAAGCGTGATAGAAATTAAGCTAGCTACTCCTTGAAATTCATGAATACCTGGTTTTCCTATGAACCGTATATTTTTAATGAATGCTATTGTTTGTGTTGCTAATAATATATTTAGAATTCCGGAACTCCCAGATGTTTAGGCTCGCTTCACTCGCCACCCCACCCTCTTGGGTAGTTTTAATGAGGGGGGGGGGGCCTCCACAAAGAGGCTGCCCATGGGCCTCCACAGGTCTAAATCTGGCACTGAGGATAGCTATACGAACCTCAGGAATTCAGCAAATTAATTTTAGTTCGGAGGATTGTTCATCAATAACTTCATTGAAGTTGGATATAAACAACTCAATCTTGAACACCACTAAATTTTAAGAATGATCAGCCATTTAATTTAAAATGTAGGTGCACTAGTTCCTTCTACTGCCGGCCCTAAGAGTAACGCCCAAATCATTGAATTAAAAGGATTCGAGTTCTACAGCATTGTATTCTGTTAAAATACAGTGAAAACCGAAGCTGCTATGCACGGACATTTGGTACATAGATGGAACTGTAGACTAGTATTAACTTTGCACTTAATTACTGTATAGTAGTTAATAAAAAAAGGGAGGTGGGGGGGAGGGCTAACAACAGCACTCAATAGGTTGAAGTAAAAAATGCTAGGGTAAAAGTTATGACCAATTGAATACCTCAACTACCCACTGTGCTGCACTTTAGCCACAAACACCACTTTCTTACCTCAAAATTTATGAAATGAGCTGAAGTAACACCAGGCATCAACACGATATCCTTGTTGATCACCGGTAAGTAGTTTTCATATCTGGTACAGCAACATTCTCCCAGATCTACAGAATTTAAGGAAACTAACCCGCAACTGGATTCTCCATCATTCATCTGGAATGAAAAAAAAAACTTTGAATGGTAAATACTACTAAACACTTCAAGTTCGATAAATAAATAATATAACATTTAACATACTTTACCACCCCCCCAACAGCGTACCCTTTAACCCCCCCCTCCCAGCACGGACCACTTTACTTCCACCCCTCCTTTGGTTGTAATCCCCCACCCCCTCCCCAGCCAGGCCCTTTAACCCCCCACCCCTCCCCAGCACAGGACCACTTCTTCACCCCTCCCCTTTGGGCCACTTTAACCCCACCCTCCCAGCTCAGGCCACTTTAACCCCACCCCTTCCCCAGCACGGACCACTTTAACTTCCCCCCTCCCCAGCACAGGCCACTTCTTCACCCCTCTGGCAGGACTTCCACTTCTTCCCTCCCCAGCACAGTTCCACTTTAACCCCCACCCCTCCCCAGCTCGGGCCACTTTAAACCCCCGCCATAGGACAACCAAAATGCGTTGAAGTTGGTGAATTAAACGGGTGGAGAATCTTCAGTTAATCATTAAATAAACTAAACTTCTAAAACAACTCCTTAACTTATTAACATTGGTCTAGGTTTCTTTCCTTAAAATAAAATCATTCTAGGATTTTGGCTCAAAAAGTACTGAAGGTTTGGAGGCCCGAGGTACTTGACGTTCACTCTACAGTACCTAACTGTACACATATACTGTACTAAAGTAACAGTATGTTCCTCAAACTATCACAAATTCTCTTCTACTAGTTCCTTCGCATGTTAAAATAAAACTATGAAGTAAATACATTTACCTGCAGTATAAACCAAATCCCAAATAAAAAAAAGTAAAACATACCTTAAATATGAGGCGAGTGAGGACCGGCAACATTGCTCCTCTGGGTCAGGGTTGAAATTACCTGACCTGCGCCACAACACCGGTTTAAGTACCTCCTCGCCGTCAAAAATGTTACCAATTGGGGGAAAACGAACAATAATTTCCACCTTTGATCGTATATACAAATGTTATTACAAATTAAGGATAAATTAAACTATTCAGTAACAAAAATAATCCCCAAAATATAAATAAACGTCTACAAAAATAATATAAACGCTAATACTGGACTTTAAATTCGTCAACTTCCAGTGTGACAAATCATAGTTGCCAACCCTGCCAATCTCACATGTCTACCAACTTTATTGGTCTCAATTATAAAAAAATACGTAATTTTGTCAACCAATATAGTTATTTATGTTTAAGAATAATAGCATACTTCTCAAATCAATAAAACATCACTCAATAAACCTCACCTGGAAAAATATAGGCGTATTTCTTCCCTATCTACAATAATGTGGTAATTACTGTAGTCACGGTTGTTACAGGTTGTTACCAATGATTCAGTAATAGGCAGATAGATATTGATATATAGAATGTGAGATAGATGGATCGTGAATATTTTAATCCTATTATTTCTTGGAGTTATATAAAAGACGTTGGAGTATATCCTCCTCCCGACCCGTCCACTAGAGACAACTGAACTGCTGTTGTTTGATGTTAATTATATTCTGGATTTCTGAGAGACCTATTCTAAAGATATTTATCAACATGATTTACATAGAACCATAATTCGTTATAATACACACCCAGGCCAATTACAGGCTTCCACGGTTCGCAAATGTGTACTAATACTTCCGTTATTATTATTATTATTATTATTATTATTATTATTATTATTATTATTTTGGCTTAAGACAGGATTTATTGTCCGACTGATGATTCGCTCTTTGCTCATTAAGAATATTAATGTAAAAATCGTCATTTATATATATATATATATATATATATATATATATATATATATATATATATATATATATATATATATATATATATATAACTTAATTAATCATTATTAAAAAAATATATATATATTTATACCTGTATACGAAATGGTTTATTTTTTTATATATTACAGCAGTACATGTACTAACTTGATGTACAGTATATGCGTCTTAATAATGGTCTGAGACTTAAATAAAGTGAGGGCAATAATAGTGGTAATACATTCATGGATTCTTTACGAAAATAATTATGTTTATGGATGGGACAAGTTACTCCTGTGACCCTGTATCAAGTTGTCAGTTGTCACTTGTATACTGTATATGTTAGTCCATTTTACTATCTGTCAAATTATTTAATACACTAGAACAGCTGCCATGGACACTAATATTTATGTATAATATAATATCTTCGTTATTGCAGGTCACTATGTAATTTGGGGAGAAAAAAATGGAAATACCCTGTGGCGGAGTTTAAGCGATGACAACACTGCCCTGACGTAAATAACTCCCAGTCTCCTGATAGTCTGTGTGAGTGCCTGTGGTTATGGTGGGTGTGAGTGCCTGTGGTTATGGTGGGTGTGAGTGCCTGTGGTTATAGTGGGTGTGAGTGCCTGTGGTTATGGTGGGTGTGGAGTGGTTATGGTGGGTGGAGTGCCTGTGGTTATAGTGGGTGTGAGTGCCTGTGGTTATAGTGGGTGTGGGAGTGCCTGTGGTTATGGTGGGTGTGAGTGCCTGTGGTTATAGTGGTGTGAGTGCCTGTGGTTACAGGGTGGGTGAGTGCCTGTGGTTATGGTGGGTGTGAGTGCCTGTGGTTATGGTGGGTGAGTGCCTGTGGTTATGGTGGGTGAGTGCCTGTGGTTATGGTGGGTGGAGTGCCTGTGGTTATGGTGGTGTGAGTGCCTGTGGGTGTGAGTGCCTGGTTATAGTGGGTGTGAGTGCCTGTGGTTATAGTGGGTGTGAGTGCCTGTGGTTATAGGGTGTGAGTGCCTGTGGTTATGGTGGGTGGAGGCCTGTGTAGTAGTGCCTGTGGTTATAGTGGGTGGAGTGCCTGTGGTTATAGTGGGTGGAGTGCCTGTGGGTGGGTGTGAGTGCCTGTGGTTATGGTGGGTGTGAGTGCCTGTGGTTATGGTGGGTGGAGTGCCTGTTATGGTGGGTGAGTGCCTGTGGTTATGGTGGGTGGAGGCCTGTGGTTATGGTGGGTGTGGAGTGCCTGTGGTTATGGTGGGTGTGAGTGCCTGTGGTTATAGTGGGGTGTGGAGTGCCTGTGGTTAGTGGTGTGAGTGCCTGTGGTTATAGTGGGTGGAGTGCCTGTGGTTATAGTGGGTGTGAGTGCCTGTGGTTAGTGAGTGCCTGTGGGTAGTGCCTGTGGTTATGGTGGGTGTGGAGTGCCTGTGGTGGGTGTGAGTGCCTGTGGTTATGGTGGGTGTGAGTGCCTGTGGTTATGGTGGGTGTGAGTGCCTGTGGTTATGGTGGGTGTGAGTGCCTGTGGTTATGGTGGGTGTGAGTGCCTGGCACTTGCCATTAAACCTGTAGTTTTAACGTTGAAAATGGCTTCAGTCACACGTCTATTAAAACCGGCAAAGTGGTCCACCTTAACCTACCAAGCCTTGCCTAACTGATGAATATTATTTCTAAAAATCAGAATATAAATAAGAAAATTACACAATGAAGAACTGTTGTGATTCGTCGAGTGTACCAATCAGCTGCCTTGCTACAAACTGACCCTAGGCCTCAGTTACAAGCTTCGAGTGAACAGACTACAGTTTAAGAATGTGGTCAGATTGGGCTGGGTTGCTTGTGATTTTATTACAGTACAGTGCTGCATTTTTACACAATTGCAAGATTATGCTACAGGTAGTAATGGTGGTAAAAGTTTTGGATTAAGGGGAAAAATATTTTGTTCTAAATGTCAAGTGTGGGATATCCTTTAGTAAACTTTTGGTGGCACAGAATCAGAAAGCTTGCCTCTCACAACTACATCTAGGGTTCGATCCTAAGTTAGCTGGGAGAAGGTTGTTGTGCGGTATGAGCCTACCAAATATGATAGGTTGTCTCTGGGTACAGTACTCAAGTTTCCTCCTGTAGCTACAGTACTAACACTGGACCTCTGATGAAGAGAGAATCTCATCAGGAAGAATGGGGTATTAAACAAGCCACTGGCTCCCGTCCCCGACCAAAGAGGTATACCAGTGATATTGTTCTGCAGGTTTTCAGGAGTGTTAGTGTTATAAAGGGATACAGATAAATAATTATTGACGAGATATCAGTCACCGATTTTTCATCTAAAATTATTTTTAAAATGCCGCAATTTCACTGTTTTGTAGTGGACACTCATAGTTTGGGCAAATGTGTTAAAAAGTTATTCTTTCTAAATTAAACCTAACCTAACCTTAGTTAATAAGAAAAACAAGTGCTTGAGGTGTTGTTAGAAAACCGCACCAACTTAACCAAAGAAACCTACCTAACGTTACCTAACGTCCTCGCCGTGTGGCTCGACCCCCGGCATATTAAAGTGAAAGTTTTTGCTATGATATGGGGTAATTTTACATTTTTGTACACTTGACAGAAATCACCCGAACCGAGCGGCTCTTAGACATACACCGAGTGTACAGCGTCGATCAGGGTGCCTTAGCGATTTATCGCCATGCAAGACAAAGTAGTGTTGCTAATGCAAGCCTAGGGATCTAAATATCTACCAAATGAAGTACAGGTATTTGTCCAAGAAATTAATATCATATCCGAACTCACTGATGAAACTATAGTAAGAAAAGAAACCAAATCAAATAGTGGGGCAGCAGTTATCTCATCAATATATTAACCTATAGGTTTATTAAGGTAACTGTACATGCTGTCATACTGGAGGGTAATGTATTATATTCAATACAGTATCATAAATACTGTAAATAGAATCCATAAATGTTACTGTAAATGATTTTATTATTAAAAACATTGTAATTAATAAAAGTTTTTTTTATATTTTCCATTCTTTTCCAGGACTACCATAGCTTGCCTTTTGAGTATATTCTCCCGTAGAGCAGTAGAAACCTAAGACGTGTAGACTGATAATAGCATAGCATCTGACCCTTAAGAGCATGGCTGGCTCAGCTGCTGCCCCAACATCCTTAGTTGAGATCACTGTATCCTGCAGGTAAGTTTTTGCTCTGTACACAGTGCAAGATAATACTGTATTAATTTTTAGGACTACTGTACTGTATATTCATGTACTGCCTAGATCAAGAGGGTACAGAAGCCACAGAGAAAAGAGAGGGTAATTTAAAACAAATACAGTACAGTATGGAAAGTGACAGGAAAGGGATAAGATGACAAGAAGTAATTTCTACAGGAAAGGGATAACATAATAAGGAGTACTTTCCACAGTTAAGTATCCTCTTAAATACATAATTTGCACCATGAAGAGATTATACCCATGTATAATAGTTCTACAGTTATAAGTGCATTTTTAAAGCTATACTGTATAACAAAAAAAATTTCCTGTAATACTAAATGTATTTTTTCCATCTATGTTTCCACAGAAATCTTCGGGACAGCGATGTCTTCTCCAAATCTGACCCGGTTTGTGTGCTGTTACACCAACCATTTGGATCCAAACAGTGGACTGAGTTCAAAAGAACTGAGTGTATTGACAATAATCTCAACCCAGACTTTGCTACAAAAATTCCAATTACATACCATTTTGAAGAACAACAAAATCTGAAATTCATGGTATATGACATTGATTATGAATCTCAGAACCTTGACCATCATGATTTTCTTGGAGAATATGCGTGCACTCTTGCTCATTTAGCCAGTTCTCGTACGGTTCACAAACCTCTGGTTAATAAAAATCATAGTGGAGATAATGGTTCTATTCTAATTGTTACAGAAGAACTTAATTCATGTAAAGAGGAACTTGCTGTACAGTTTGTTGGCAAAAATATAGAAAATAGGAGCTGGTTCTTTTCGATAAGTCCATTCCTAGAATTTTTCAAAGCAAATGAAGATGGAACCTTCACTCTGGTTCATCGAACAGAACCGGCACACAGTACTGAAAATCCTGTCTGGAAGGAATTTTCAGCACCTTTGCGAAGCTTCTGCAACGGTGATTATGACCGCAATATCCAGGTTAAATGTAAGAACTTCAAATCAAGTGGCGATCACAAGCTTATTGGCTCTTTCAACACTACAGTACGAAAACTGATTGAGGGACCCGGCCCAAGTAATACATATTGGATAATCAACGAAGAAAGAAAGGTAAATGTATGTTATTACATTAATTGACTTTTGTCCTCCATTTTGCCCTCTCCAGCAAATGAATGAAGGTTTGGATATACAGATGTGACACCTTTATTGAGAATAAAAATAAGCAAATAGGCACATGTTGCCCTAATTTTGTGCTGGGGGTTGTGTTCTGTGAAAAGGCTGGTACACTACAGTACCGTATACGTCAAACTAGTACTGTACTGTGTGAAGGCAGGTTTCCACCCACAGTTGAACTCCCCCTGATGACAATTTCCCTGAGCATTTAGCCATTTACTCTCTCTTTGTGGCTTATAGTGTAATATTCATAACAGACTGCAACCAAACTACTGAATGTTTATATACAGTATTGAACTATCTGTACCTGCAACACCAGAAATTGGGAAAATGGCTCCTTGCTGGTGATGATACCTGGTGGTCACTTCCAGGGGATGTAATATTACAGTACAGTACATACTGTACTTCTTATAAATATATATCCAGTGTAGTGATTAGCCTGTTCATAATAAGGTATCGTATATATACTTATAACTTTAATTTTATCCTCTTTGCCATTAACTGGCTTGTTAGCTGCTTGGGTGGTCAGTCACATCTCTGTTATGCACTGTTGGCAAGTACTGTACTGACTTCAAGGATGAAACTGTGCCAGTGTTGGTTAAGTCTGGTCTAGAGTACAAGTTGTTAACTCTTGGAACAATCTGCCATCACTGAGTGTGACTGGATAGCCTCAGTATGCACCACTATAAGGATTAATTCCATACACTATCAGGTAGGTCCTATTTAGATAAGATTGGCCTCAGATTTATGTACTGTACCGTATTTAGTTTTTCAGATTTGTGACATTAATATCATATTGTCCAAAAATATTTATTTATTTTTAATTATTTTCACAGAAGAAAAAGGGCAGTAGCTACAAGAACTCTGGGGAAGTGATGGTTAATAAGGCCCATGTTCGTCAGGTTTACTCATTCATTGACTACATCAAGGGTGGCATGGAGATAAATGCATTCATTGCTATTGATTTCACAGGTCAGTATTTTTCTACATCTTGCTAAAAAGAGTTTTATGATCTATTCCCTATATTAAGAGGCCAAGTAGGAAATTCCCATCCATTCCTGATTTGCCACATTTAGGGCTCTTTTGTATACTACTTCATCTGTATGATGCTCCGAGCTCTTGTAATTTATTATTTTTTATTATTATTATTAAAATTTTTGCCACTTGTCAGCTTCTACTAGCCATTTGGGCGGTCTATCCAGTGTTAGTACAGGAGGAAACCGTGGACCGGGAAACCTGTGGTGTTTGGTAGTGAGCGTCACACTGTATAACACCCTTCTCATGTGTGTCCAGGCCGAGGCTCAAACCCTTGACATATTGGTGAGAGTTATGTGCATTAGGGCTGTATCACCAACACCCTTAAATGAACCTTCTTCCACTACTACTATTTTCTTTTGAAGGCATTTTATACCTCTTCTTGTTTTACATGGTATACACTTCTCTACTGTTGACTCGAGGATTTTCATTGTCTTGTATTGGTTCTTCTATGTCTGACTCCTCGTTAATGATTTCCTCCCAGTTAACTATCTGTAGTGTCTCTCTCATGAGCTGGTGACCTCCATGGTTGAAGTCATAGTAATCCTCATCAACTACTTTCAAAGATTATACAGGTACAGTATTCCATCTTAGTACACAGTATAGTTGCTAGTTGGAGTTTTTTCCCCCAATGTAGACCTTATTCACCATAGCCTATATTGTAAAGACTAAAATGGTGCTCCCCCGTGGGTTCTGACAAGTGTTGCACAAGGAACGAATCTTGAACTTGCTCCTTTTAATGAGGAAATTTTGTCATGATACAATAACACCAACTATACTATAATACTATATTGTACTACAAAAAATAAGCATGTATATGACCTTTCCTCTCTCTCACAAAAGTACACACACACACACCATACAATACACAATGTTTAACTTTACAATGAGATTCATTGTTGTTTTAATCTTTCAGCCTCAAATGGTAATCCCCAGACGCCACAGTCCTTACACTTCATCACTGCAGCCGCTCCAAATCAATATGCACAAGCCATCCAGTCTGTTGGGGTGATAATTGAAGATTATGACACTGATAAATACTTCCCAGTTCTGGGATTTGGAGCCAAGATGCCGCCGGATTATTCTCAGGTGTCACATGAGTTCTTTGTAAATGGAGATCCTTCAAATCCTTACTGCCATAGAGTTCAAGGTTAGAATTTAATGTTTTTAATTATGACACAGTTTACCCCACAAAACCTGTTCCCTCTCCTTCCTGTCCCTCCATTCCTCCACCATCCACCTTTGTCTCTATTCCATTTTTATTTCCTTTAATCTGTTTGAACAAGACTTGGGCAATGAGTGCTTGTGTACTGTACAGTATATCATTCATAACATTCATCATCATCTTACTCTCTTCAGGAGTTCTTGAGGCCTACTATCAGTGTGTGAGACGAGTTCAGCTTTATGGGCCCACAAATTTTTCTCCGATCATCAATCATGTGGCCCGTTTTGCTTCCTCAAACCAGAATGGGGAGAAGTACTTCATTCTCCTGATACTGACTGATGGGATCATCACTGACATGCCACAAACTAAAGAGGTAAGGAAAAAGTCACCGACTGACATTTGTGATTCAACTACTGGAGTTATTGAAGATTTTACACTTATACAGGTAGTATGAATGGCAAGTATTATACCGTGTATAAATGCATCATATACACGTTCTGAAAAACACGGAAGGACTTACGAAAATAAGATACAGTACAGGTACAGTACTGTATAACTCAATGTATGACTGGGCTTGTTTCTGAAAACCTTTTCATAAATTGAATAATTGTAAGTCAAATCGTATTCATTCATTGATCACCATTACTATAAGGTCTTATAAGAAGGACGTTCAGATATCTAGATGGTCCATTCCTCATAATGCTCTTCAAGAGTGAGGTGTGCTTCCCCATCTGGACTACTGTCACCCTGTCTGGTCCCCGAGATATGCTAGAGACTGTCAGTTGATTGAAAATGCCCAAAGGAGGGCCACCAGACTAAAACCTGTACTAAGGCACCTCAGTGACCCAGAGATTAGAACACCTGTAACTGCCTAGCTTATAACATTGTACTATAGACGGGTGAGGGGTGACTGAATTGAAAGTTAATAAACATCTCGGAGGACACTACTCAGTCACGTGTCCAAACCTGGAACTGGCAGGTGCCCGCCCCACAGGGGGTCACATCTCGAGGTTGAAGAAGCCACAAGTCCAGAAAATTGTTTGGGCAAACTTTTTTGGAGTGAGAATTGTAAACTCTTGGAACAATCTGCCAGAGTGTGTTGTGACAGCACCGAGTATGAACCGTTTCAAGACCTTCTGGGGATGGGATATCTGGTTTGGCCTCATGTTAACAAGACATCCATATTTTGGTTTAGTAGTCTGCACACTTAACATATTGACAGAAATTGGGCTCTGATGGGGGAATCTTGTGCAATGGCAAGTCCTTGTGTACTAGTTCAGCCCTTAGCTCATTCAGACTTGTGTGTGCCTCAATATACTTGCCTTGAGGGTCATAGAGGGCTGTACTGTAATTATTGTTCTGAACCGACTAATGGCAGCCTCCAAATCTTCATCTACTAGGATGTCCACTCTAAGCAATGTATTTTCAAAGGTCAGTTTTTTTTACTGCCTTCCACACATTTTCTCGAAGGTCATAAAATGCAGAGACAAAGTCATAACCAGTCAGAACATGTGTGGGTGGAAGAATTCTAGGTAAGTTATCACATACAGTAGTTTCAAACAACTGTCATGCACAGGAACACATCTTCAAGGATTGGCGGGTCTTGTTGTTTTTCCTATTTCTATCCACAATTTGCTTGTGTTTTGCATTATAATTATTATAATTAAATTGGTTGATCCTATCTAATATGTCTTCACTTTCTTCTACTTGCAGGCCATTGTTAATGCTTCAGCCTTGCCCATGTCCATCATCATTGTGGGAGTTGGAAATGCTGACTTTGATAACATGGAGGAACTGGATGGAGATACTGTACGTCTGTCCAGTAACGGTCGTTATGCTTCTCGCGATATCGTACAGTTTGTGCCTTTTAGGGACTTTTTGAAGGGGCATAGTGATCCCCACACAGCTGGGATCAGGTTGGCCAGAGAAGTACTTGCTGAAATTCCTACTCAGATTCTGTCCTTCATGAAAGCCAATAACATTGTTCCTCAACCACCTAAGGTTAATGAATCATCTCTGCCACAAAACATTGAGTAATCATCCTGCCTTAGACTCTGAGTTAAAAGGTACAAGTTGGATACACATTGTATAAGTTGCTCACCAGGATGAAAGCAAGATAGGTGTACCGTATATGTGATGACCACAGAACTGATATACAGTACATTTGTCACAGTTAAAATTCATCCAATCAAATTGCCTGATTTTAATCAAGCAATGTGAAAGTTGTCATAGCTTTTTGTGGGGGTAGATTAGACTGCAGTAAAAGTTGGTGCTTATGACGATTGAAGTGGGCCAATATAATTTTCTCCCATGAATGATGTTGAAGAAAAGTAATACTCATACAGTATATTGTGCAGTACTTTACTGTACTGTATATAGAATGCATGAGCGGTGTAGACACATTAAGATTCCACAAGTTCCAAATATAATTTATATTTTTAACTTCCTTGCTTTCTCTTTCAACGTTGCCATTATATTGTACAGTACTTACAGCACTGTCTCTATAGTTTTGTCACATCTCATTCTTCACTACAATCAAAAACTACTATACCTACCCTTAACCCCTTCACAATGGGTATGCCAGACAAGGGGGTTAAAAAATATTCAACATTTCTTTTTATTACAGTTTCTCTTTTTGTTTCTTGTAGTGTGTGTGGCAGGTAGCAGAAGACATAGATAATATGAACAAATAGAGATCAAATCAATTAAACTTGGTTAGTGGATGTAAACCAACAAGATCCTTAGTGAGCTCAGTACCTGGTAGTTCCCACAATATTTTGGGTAGTAATGACCCATTCTGTCTCAGTGGCAACAATGCACACTCAACCTCCGCAGTTAATTGTCTTTGTCACATTGTACCATTCCATAGTTTTTGTTAATACTGTACTCTCAATATACTATGTTAGCTTCAATGTTCCTTGTCAGTTATTTCTTCATAATACAATCAACAAGTATGTCATCCAAGAGTGCCTTACACCGGCTGCAGTCACTAACTACAGTACAAAGTGTAAGTGGTAACACTGTACTGTACACTATTAATACCATACAGTAACATTTTATACAGGAGTAAAATACTACATTTATATTTAGTCTTGTGTTGTACAAATACATTTTATACGTTTCCTCTATGTTTGTCTCTAGACACAGACACTGTATTGTGATGGCCTACAAATTCATTCCTTTTAGCGGGTATCTCAGGAGCAGTGTGTCGAGACTAGGGTTTAGTTTTATGGTCTGTCACGCACTGATAATACAACTTGTAATCCCTGTGTTTAAGTTTTGTCCTGTTATATGGAGCCCACTTCCTTATTATCAGCAGCACTATACTTTTTACTTTTATCCTCTTCACCACTGATCGGTTCGTTAGCTGCTTGGGCAATCGGTCACGTCTCTGTTTCACACTGTTGGCAAGTACTGGGCATGCACCGGTTCCTGAATGTACCCGAACCTACTCCAGTATTGGTCAAGTCTGGTCTTGAAAGAGCTCACACTCGGTGCCGTCACAATGCTCTCTGGCAGATTGTTCCAAGAGTTCACAACTCTCACTCCGAAAAAGTTTGCCCTCACAGTTTTCTGGACCTGTGGCTTCTTAAATCTTGAGCTGTGACCCCTTGTGGGGCGAGCGTCCGCCAGCTCATACTTAATACTGCTGCTTGTCAGTACAGTACTGACATTTAGTGCTATGAAGTAAAATGAGCATATTGTTTAATAATTGTATTATAATAAAGTACTGTTCTGTTATATTAGGTGACTCATGTAGGATTTTATTTGTTATGTATGTTGGATTATTTTAAATACTGTACCATAATGTAAGGTTTTCTGGGCATTCCTTGTGTGTGAATTGCTGTGTAATTTTAAATATAAAATCAAAATATATAGATACAGTATATAATAGACTTAAGGCAGGCAGTCATCCCTCAACTGCAGCATCACTTCTGTTCTTTCTGTTGTTTTTTTAACTATTTTATACTTGTTTAGACTGACATAAAACATGTCAGGGAGAAACAAACTTAATTTATGAGCTTAATTATGGAAGTTTAAGGTTTTTTATAAGGTTACACTGAGGTTACCCGTTAGTAACTTAAACATGGGCTCACAACCTTTACTTGGGTGTTGTGTTCCTTCTAAGACAAGCTCACTTTTATTATATAGAAATTAGGAAAAGTCTCAGCTTCGTGAAATCTGGTCCTGGTTTTGAGGATGTTAAAGATTTTTAAGAATGTGTTTTTGATGTTTACAAATAAAGAGTTTTAACCCTCCATTACTGATTTATTTGGATAGGATTCTTAAGATATGAAATGTAGTATAACTGAAGCAGGCTGAGAGTTGTTTTAATGCGGCTTTAGTATACTAGAGTTGTCTGTTGAGATGATATGAACGGCACTATATGGAGCGGCGAAGGAACTTTTCCTGTGGTACGAGACCAAGTAATCTACTGAATGGTAAGAACCAGCCCATCAGCATCTGTTCAGCCATTGAGTATCATAGAAGAAAAGAGCCTGAAGGAACAAAAATGTGTACTACACCGGTTTATATACAGGTATAGTGCAATATATATATGCCGAGGCACAACTCACTGTCTATTGTGAATGAACAGAACAGGTCACTTAAGCCAAGAGCAAGGCCTTCAACACCGGTCTTTATAGACAACTGGGCAAACCTACTGTACGCATATCTCCAGCAGACATTAACCCACTTGATCCATTATTATCTGTTACATGGATGAAGATCTGGACTCATAGGCCTCAAGCCTTCCTCTTCAGTCCACATAAGTAAGAATATAAATTAGTTTTATGAAAAATGTATTATATTTGTAAACTATTCATATACAATGAAGTAAACCCTAGCTTACCCAATCCCACTGAGGGAGAAGGTCAGGTTTTTGTGATTTCCAAAGGGACAGAGTGGCTGATTTCTTGGGTGAGTCTGGTGGTATCTCCACATCTAACTCAGAGATGCTCTATTATTTTCTGTTTATCAGCAATATTTGCATGTTTATGCACTACTATTTATAGTAACTGTAAAGATAAAATAGTTGGTACAGTATTGCACTGCACAAGCAGGGTCAAAAAGCACTATCTTTTGCAGTGTGTGCAGGATACAAATACAGTAAAGACAGGACTGAGTTGGGTGGAACCACAGGTGAGCCACATCTTGTATAAACACGATACTGTTTGATGACACTCTGGACAGGACCAACATTTGTTTTATCAATAATATAACCCCCCCCTCAGAGTGGGGGGGGGGGGGCCCACCCCAGTTTTTGAGGATCTAATTATATCAGGTGGAGTTTATATGAACAGACTACAGTACTATACGAAGTAGACTGTGCAGTACTTATTTCATCTAGTGATTAAAATGCCATTAAGCTATTTGTGGGGTTAATCTTAAGGCTACCCAAATATACACCAAGGAACAGATGAATCAGGATACTGTATTGGTAATAGTGGAACTTCGTCCTTGACCTTTGTCTGGTGACATATAATACCCCCACTATCGACCCTCTGAGGGCGACTGTTCAGTAGATACTCCTGCTATTTGACAAAACTATGGCGAATATCACACACACACACACACACACACACACACACACACACAGAAAAAAAAAGATAAAACGGCAAATACCCGATCCCCTTAAGGCGTTGAGTGTATAATAATTATAATAATAATAATAATAAAAATAATAATAATAATAATAATAATAATAATAATAATAATAATATATTAGTTTCCCCGAACAACCATCACTGTAATTCCCGCAAACGCTTTCATCTTCCCTGTGACTCACGCTACCGGGAATCAAGAACCTGAGGGCCAACACCTGACAAGACTGGTTACCGGGAAGTGCAACAACCGGGTAAATGATTCTTAATATTCTTGCGTGGGATGAAGTCGATTTTGCCACAATGCCATTAAGTTCAATGACTCTTACAATACAATGATATATCCTATGGTACCTTAACATCTCTTGAATACAATGATGACTTCTTCAGTATTATGTCTTGGTATATTGTGTTTATACCCGAAGTCTATGTCAATGTAAACTCGAATGAGAATTTTAATGCAGTGAAGAACCCCAACCAAAACCAAGGGATCATAAACCGTATCACTGAATAAAGATAAAGCTCAGTTAGTGTTATAAATCGTACAAGCGGTGGTCACCGTTACAATAAACATCACCACAAAGAGAGCAACACAAGCAGACTAAAAGTTTTCCAAGATAAGTCACCTTGAGATATGGCACTGGCGGGGCGACCTTATACACACACTCCAAAACCTTGATGGAATGAAAACACACAAACACAAGAGACCATAGTATCAAGCCCCCCCCCCCCCGACCTTTGGTACAGTCTACTATTAACGTATGTCGTGTTAAGAACAACAGTGCCGAGCTGTGGGGGAGGGGGGACAAGTTGTGCAAAGAGGAGGTGGGGGAAGGAGGAGGAGGAAGGTGATGAAAGGTTTGTCAAGGATGTGGTTTTTCCTGAGACAGCTCCGGGCAATACTGTACAAGTGGCCTGTCTCTCTCACACGCATGCAGGAACAGTACAATGGTTTCCGATCCTTCTACTTTACAAATTTATTTTACTTATATCTCGTCCAATTCCTATCTGTCTTGATGTTTCTGTTTCCCTTGAAAGACGGACCCAGAACCCAGGGAAGGATGCCAGTGGCCTGTGTAGGACCCCTCCATTGTTGTCGATAGTCTTGTCAAAGGCCACTTTCAAGTTCAATACTGTTCTTGACTCCACAGCTTAGACTGGTAGACCGTTCCATAGATCTACCAGCCTCTGTGTGAAATTAATTATATTCGTTCTTCATGATAACTTGGCGAGCTTGCGGTTATGTCGTCTCGTGTTGGTGGTGCGCGACATCACAAACAAATGTCCCGAGTTCACGTTTTCCATCACTTTCAAGATTTTGAATGTCTGTGAATGAGATCTTCTCTACTTCGCCTTGTCTGAAGGTCCTCAGTCTACTTGGGTAATCGAGATAACACATCTCTCTTTACACTGCCTGTGCTGGATGACTAATGCTTCAACCATAACTGCAGGTTTATTATTTGATTTATCATAAATGGACAACAAAAACTTATACCCCGACCTACCGCCCCACACGACCTCTGTCTCTTGCCGAGGGGACAGTGATGCCACCATAAGGTGGGTGCTCATTAACCACCGCACCCCGCTTACAACACTGTGGCTCCACCGGAAACTACGTCTCTACGGCGGAGATGAACCTCCCAACTCTCTTCACCGGGTGTTATGGCACCAAGAAGTGGTCATCAACCAGGTGGAGGTGCGGGGCCCCATATTTGAAGGGGCTCGTCACGTGGTCACTACCAAACTGAAGAAGATGGGTTCCTGCCTTGAAGGGGCTTGTGGGGTGGTCACGACCCAGCTGAAGCAGATGGGCTCCTGCATTGAAGAGGCGCGTGACGTGGTCACGACCCAGCTGAAGGAGTTGGGGTATTCCATTGCTGGGGCTCTTCACGCAGTGTTTGCTGTACGACAACCATTACGGGAAATCAAAATAATAAAATTAGAATGAGTAATATGTTTTAGTGTCAATTTCTTTTCTTGAATGTTACCATGTGTTTTAATGTGCCATGGTGTAATCTTGTATAATGCACGTGCTCTCTCTCTCTTTCTCCGTTTTTTATAATAATAATGTTAAGTTGGATTTTGTTTTTTTTTGGTTAAATCTTCATGCATTATCGTATGTGTTATCCCCCTTTTACGGTTTCTTACATCTTCATGCTATCTCTCGTGTTGGGTAGACGTAAGGTAAGGTGGGAATTTGTTGTGTAACCATACCTTGGCCTCATGGCGGGAAAACATGAGCATCCCCGCACTTCAGAATGGCGTCAGACACTATACGCCCCGTTGTAAAGAAAACTGGTTAAGACCGAACACAGTCAGAGGGTGCTGGGCCAACAATATCAAACTCTTATATATATACTCGTGTTGTTGGGGGTCCTCCACACACACTAAAGTAAAGGTCAGAGAACGATGTAAAAGACTGATGACAGATACACTAATAAACGAGAGATAGAATGTTGTACTAAGCGAAGCCAATCTTCCACTCGTTAACTCATTATTTAATTAGTAGTTTTTTGTTTGTTTTTTCTCAAGGTATGTCAAGTTGTATCGGTAATATAAAATAAAGTATAATTTCTGGTACAAACACACATCTCTACACCTCCCCTCTCTCTCAGGTTCCCAGAAGGACCCGTGAGCCTCTCAGTTGATTGGAGCTACAACAACGAAATAACACACCATCGTTACCGAGCACAAAGCCAGCCTATGTTTTGCTTTGTTGTTGTATAAGTAAAGAGGTGGTATGAGTCTTGGTAATGCGATACCTTAGTCACCTAGCCGTACAGATGACGCTCAACATGTGAAGCGCATTTTCAACCGACAGTGTTTCCTAGTTCCGTTGTGACGTCCGGCGCCACTGTCATATTATTATTATTTGATATCAGGATCGTATACTTTAAAATATAAACCTATGACATTATTTCCGCGTGCGACACTGCACCGAACTTGCGTAAGATTTTCTTCACCCTGCAGTTCCCTTGATACGTCGCCCTCCAACACGGAGCGACGGATACAACCTTATCATGTGCAGATCGTGTGGGGTGGGGTTGGGTACACGGGAAGTTTAGACCATTCTAGAGACTGTTTAACGTGTTGTGGGTGTCTGTCTGACCTTGAATTGAGAGCCAAATTTCCTGGTTTGTTTACCAGCAAGAATAAATGCCACAACACTGCTAAATTCTGATGCCTAGCAGCCACCCGACACTCAATCGTGCCAACAAAAACTGGTCCTCACTTATGTTGCAAGGTGTTGTTGTTATTTAACATAGAATATAACTAACGCTAAAACTGTTAGTCAGCTCACCTCTGGCCGGAGACAAAGTACGTGGCCTGCACCTCAGCACCACTTCTCCCCAATAGAAGAAGATGCTTCCTCAGATGTTATATAGTATTGGTCAAAATGTAGAAGTGAAAAAAGAAAAAAAACACAAACTAGCAACTGACCAACACACCCACCTCCGTTTTCTGTTGCGAGTCTGAGGGTGAGGGGTTCAGTAGTAAACAAATGGTGGGTGTGTTGTGTGGTGCCCGAGCCGTGTGTCTGCATCTGTATGTGATCCTTCACTGCTGTTGATATTAAGGACATTTATTGTCTCTCTGCAGTGTCCTCAACCTTAGGAGCTTTTACACAGTTAGGATAAACCTATATATATATATATATATATATATATATATATATATATATATATATATATATATATATATATATATATATATATATATATATATATATATATATATATATATATATGTGTGTGTGTGTGTGTGTGTGTGTGTGTATCAGTTTTGTTTAGCTTTCTTGTGTAGTAAAATATATTCTGTGTGTATAATACATTATGTGATACACGAATGAAAGTGTAGCTTCAGCTCAAGATGGAACTGGTTCATTACGGTATGAGGGAGGAGTACCCAGCTCCCCTTAACTGTGACGGTAGACTGACCCAACACAACAGGTTACTAGTGGCCACAACAGTACACTACACTGAACATGGTCACTAATACTGACCTCACCTTCCGTTATACTGAAACATGAGTGTGGAGGGATTGGTGCCGACCCTTACTTGTTGGTTTACACTTTCAACATGACACTCTCCAGGACTATTGTTTGTAAGTGTTTAGTGACAGTCAGGTGGCGGGAAAATGGTATCTTTACTTACAAGTTTTGGGAGCCACGTTAGGTGTAAGTATACTCGTATGCCCGCCAAGAAGAGCTGCCTATGTTTAGAGGGTGTCACCGCCTGAGTGCGTTAGGCTCATGTCCTTATTTATGGGGAACTGGTTCACGTCCGGGGCACCCCTAGACGACCCAGTTGTGTATGGATACGTTAGATAAGCTGGGGAAGTGAACCTGGTTAAGAGTCATGTTGGCCACTTACCCCCAAGGTACAGTACGTACACACACGTTTGCCAACAGGTAGAGGACCCTGGGTCGTCTAGTCAAGTATCACTGCCTGGGTTCCTCGCTATACCATCTCTATATCCCCCAATCATCACGTCTATTAATAATTTAAAAAGTATTATTGAACATGATATAAACTTTACTCATTTTAAAAAGATTGATGTTCAGAAGTAAATTACCTGTAACGTCAAACAACTTGGTAAATCAACAATGTAGGTGAATCCTATGTAAAGATTGTTATTGATATTTGTATTTTATCATAACGTAGATTGAGTGAGTTTGTGTTTATCATCTTCACTGTTGTAGTAATAACTCGTAACAAAAGCTGATGCTTAAGTCTTCCACAACTGTCAACATTATCAAGCTTCGTCACGCTTACTAAAATTTGTAAGTCAGTTAAGTTGGGTTCAAAATCCCAGACTTATGTGGACAAAGTGCTGGCTGGTATAGTAATGAGCCATCGACTCAATTTTACCCACTTTTGGAAGCCTTGGCTACATCTCCATTGGTTGCTAAGTAAACCGCGCCGCCACACCGACAGCGAGTGTTACTACAGTGTCTGAATAATAGGTCTTGTATATATAAAGGTGACAGCAGTGAGCTACTCCCTCTTGAGAGTGTGATGGTGCCCCCCGGTAACACCATCTTCACCTTGTTGACAGTTGGTGGAGACAGACAGTTGTATGCCAAGGTCCCTCTCACTGCCCTCAGGTACACACACACACACACACACATTGCAGTCTGCCGCCAGTCACAAATCTACATGTTGTTGTAGTAGTGCCGGCGCTGCATCTTGACTATTAATAATTTTACTCGCTCTTGTGTCCTGTTTGTTGTTTCTCTATAAAGTAAGTTAACTCAACCCAAAAATAACCTCATTGCTCATATGAGCAATAGGGGTTGGGTGTAAACGGGACTGCCCAGTATGGGCCAATAGGCCCGCTGCAGTTTCCTCCATTCTTATGTTCTTATGTTCTTATGTAAAGTCGCAAGCCATCTAAAACTTTCTGCCTATCGTACTATAATAAGTTAGAAATCACCACGGGTTGTCTCGGTTAGGTTAGGTTGACGTTGGGTTGGTTAATCTCCAGGTGATGGAGCATTCGCACATCTTAAAAATATGATAAATTTTCCCCGTACGAGCCTCTGAGACCTCGACCCAGGACTGTATAATTAAGGGTGAAACAGATGAATCAGGCCACACTAGAATGCCCCACTGACACATTAACAACATCTTACTTGGTCAAAGGAAATGAACACACTATACTAACACTCTTGAAGACTCTGTGGTGTTGCGCAAGTTGAATATTTATAACCATAATTAGTATGAGTTTGTTATGCACCTAACCCACCTTGTGTAAACAGGAACTAAGTGAATAATCGTAGAATAATCTGAATAAAATACAGTAAGTTCAGCATAAAGTAGACTAAGATATATGATGACAGCGGTAGTTCCTTGTGCCATGTAACTGTGAAGTGACTCAAAAACAGTAGTGAGTTAAGTGAAAGGGCGTGTGAGGAGGACAGCCGGTGGGTGTCTCTGGGGGCGCGGCGCGATCACTGTGAGAGCCTCAGACCCGCCTACCGCCACCATGCAGGGCAAGACCCTTCCTCCTCCACCCAGGATGAAGTCTGACCGGAGTGTGGTAAGTACCTCTTCTCCTTTCCTGTTTTGATCCTGACAAATAATTATGGACCTACAGTACAACCAGTAGAAAAATAGTCTTACCTACCTAACCTAACTATTTTATTCAATAGAGACCTTCAAACACAAGGGGTTAAAGGTGAAGTTGCCTCACCAGTCATTACCACGATAGGACCAGTTTTACCGACGTCCTCGACCTGGCCCCTACTAACCAAGAGTAGACGGGGGGAGGGGGGGGGCTCACTGCTGCCCCTCAACACCTCCCTGCACCACGAGCCACACAACCCCCCCCCCCCACACACCTATGAGCTAATTATCTTCCCTATCTAGTTGTCAGTCTTGTTCCGAAAGTTTAGTCTGGTATAATAGGTCTCATTTAACTTGTAATACAGCCCCCGGCTGGTAGTGTAAATTTCCATCTTCACCTTCAGTTTTATCCCAGCGACAGCAGATAGAAGTGAAAGGCTTTGTGCTACCCGAAACTTTTATTTATTTATTTCACCAGTTATCAGCCTACTAGCCGATAAAGCGGTTGGTCTATTCTATGTTATTTTCTTAAGACCATTACTGTCCAGTGTTAGTACAGGAGGATAGTACCTGGAGGACACAGCTGCCATGTTAGGTAGTGACACGGGCAACACCCTTCTGTCTGCAGTATGGTAACAATGCTTGTGGTCTGTGCCTACCAGCTGCTGCACCTGATCTAAAACAACAACAATAACAGCGTACGGAGAGTACTACTGTAGTGACTAGCTACTCTTGTGTAAAACCCGAGGCCCCACGTGCAGGTCCTGGGGCCCCGCGTCTTGGAGGTCCACGTGACTGGATGCAGCGTCCCGCGCCGCTCTTGACTACTGGGCAGAGCAGCCGTCCCTTACCCAAGCTTCACAGATGCCAAGAACTGTCGCAACACTTCCAACCAATCAAAAATCCCAGTAGCATCTTGAACGCTGGTTTAGCTAATACACAAAGGGAACTGTCGCAACCTTCCTATACTGAGAACCTTGGACGTTGCTGTGGACACACACACACACACACACACACACACACACACACACACACACACACACACACACACACACACACACACACACACACACCAAAGTGCAAGTGCAACAAAATTGCACAAGACGACAAAAAACAAAGGAAGAAACAGTAGATAAACAAAAGGAAATAATAATCCTTGAATGTCGGTAAGCTGTTGTTTACCGAGTGTGTCTTGGGTGATGATGAGGTGAGGTGAGGTTAGTGTTAGTGTGCTCTTCACAGCTAACTTTCTTACTATGAAGCTAACTTCCTACTTTACAGCTAATTATGTCCCTATATTCTTACTTCTCACCCATTCCCAGTCTTTTCTCCCGTGCATTCAAGTCCACAACAGTTCCTTACAGTTATTCCGACACACGAAGCAAAATACAGTACACTACTGAGTGAGGAGAGAGAGTGTGTGTGTGTTGATCCAGCTGCAGTATAAACAAGTCTTAATTCACGTCTCAACCTATAGCAACCCACCAGGCACAATGGGTACACCTGTTAAGTGCGTTGTCCCCCACACACCTGACCTGATGCCAGGTGAGTGTGTGAACCATCAATAGAGTGCGTTGACCCCTCGCCCAGACTGGTTCACCCACCCGGTCAATTGAGTGAGTCAGGTGTGTGTGTGTGTCGTGCTTTAATGATGGTAATATTGGTGATGATGGTGGTGGTGATGGTGATGATTCATAACCCATCCTCGGCTAATCAAAGTTAATTATCCGGATCACTTGAAAATTAGCCCCCCCACACCTCAGCTTATTTCACCTGAAGATTAATTAAACACCACAACGCTACCTGGAGGGGTTAGGTTAAGTTAAGTGTTAATTATCTGGTGAAATAAACTGGGGTGTCTAATCTTCACGTGACTCAAATACTGCTCTATGCTGAATATTTATTACAATTAGTGATGTCCCTTGTTCAAGTCACATCAGTTTGGCGAGTTGACACAAACAGAGGTACCAAACATCGCATAAAAACCACACAGAGTACACGCGTCCTGGGCAGCCGTCTGTTTCATCAATAGTGACGAGGCTATATATGTTGTGTGCGGCGGAGAAAGTCATGGTGTGGTGCCAACAGCGGTGAGCAAGTGGTCTGGCCGGGACACACACTAGTACCTGGGATGGGGAGGGGACAAAACCCACACCCCTGCCACACCATCTTCACACCCGCTGTTTATGCCAACTCACACACCATCAAAGTTACAGTCAGCCAATCATGTGGTAGGAGGGTCTAGAAGCACCGCCTTCTGTGTTAGAAAATTGTGAATGTTTCACTTAAAGTCGCCATAAAAACAAAAATATACTTCAAATAATGAAATCAAGTTTGTTTATCATCTTTGGCGTAGGACACACACACACACACACACACACACACACACACACACACACACACACACACACACAGACACACACTTCTAACATAACCAATTATAAAAATATTAAACAAATATCATGAACCAGAAACAAACTAATTTAGACCAGTTAACATTTACCTGTCCAAACCTTTAATTAAGTTTACTAATTACACCAAGTCCAATTTCAACACAGTCTAGTATCAATATTCTTAAAGGTGTGAGTAAATTAGGGTTGAAGTCCTCAGGTGAGATGTGAGGAACGTGACCTCTGACCTGTGACCTCACCAAAAAATTTCAGGTATTTTACGCGTACATCAATCTCCCCTCCCCCACCTCCCTACTTCCCCCCTCCTCCCTCCCCTACTCTCTCCCACCCCATCCCTTCCTCCTCTCCATCCCTCCCCCCACCTCCCTTCCCCCTTGACTACTTGATTGACTGATTGGTTACAGAAGCATAACCATTCTCACCACAGTAGACCAGAGGAACACACGTTATGTATCTTACTGAAGCCTTATGTTCCAGGTGCCTCCCCGACTTGACTGGATTAAATGTCTGACTGATTGACTGACTGGTGCTGAGTGGTGACTGTAAGGGAGGGGGGGGCTGTGAGTGGTGACTGACGTGTTAGTAGACTGGTGACGCGTGTGGTGTTTAGACTGGTGACTGATATGTGGTACTGTGACTGGTAACTGGCTGAGTTTGAATTTACTCCAATAAAAATATAACTGTGGATATTATTATTATTATTATTATTTCGTGTTTTTTCATGTGTTTAGCTAAAATTAGACGTTGCTTCTTTGTTGTCGTCTGTCTTGTGTGTGTGTGTGTGTGTGTAGACCCACCCAACAACATGGGGGGTGGGGGTACTTCTTCACCTTGCACGTTGCTCGCCACCTGACTGACACAACCAATTCACCCACACCCGCGCTCCCCTGTGTGTGTGTGTGTGTGTGTGTGTGTGTGTTCTCCCGTCAACATGAGATATCATTGTCAACAGTCCCAGAATAGCAATGAGTCCCTTGGATTTCATAAGATATATCTATACAAGTTTATGAAAGTTTTATAGGTTTTCAGGTTAGGTTAGGTTGGGTTGGGTTAGGTTAGGTTGGGTTGGGTTAGGTTGGGTTAGGATGATTAATCATGACGTGAAATAACCTGGGGTGCCTAAAATACCATAATGTTTGGTAATAACTATCCAACTGAAGTGACTTTAAATCCATATATTCTACCTTATATCTAGACAGGTGAGACAGAGACCAAGAGCTTGAAATAAAGCTTAGTCAGGGGGGGGGGAGCTCTACATGTGAGCAAGGCAAAGCACTGAGGTTGTTGGCCCCAAGCTGCTGTCATATAGTGTAGGAAGGAAATCGTTCTAGGACCCTCTGCCCTGCCCTGCCCTTCTGTGCCCTCTGCCCTGCCCTGCCCTGCCCTGCTCTGCCTGCCCTGCTCTGCCTGCCTGCCCTGCCCTGCCCTGCCCTGCTCTGCCTGCCCTGCCCTGCCCTGCCCTGTCCTGCCCTGCCCTGCTCTGCCCTGCTCTGCCCTGCTCTGCCCTGCTCTGTCCTGCCCTGCCCTGTCCTGCTTCCCTCCACACTTGGCTCATAATGCTTACATCTTGAAACATATATTTTACTCTTTAATGTTTAATAATGTTTATAAGAGTGACTCTGCTGTCGGGTTAAGAGAGAAGGTTTAAAATATAATAAGCGTCAGTGAGTGTTTAATGAGGTCAAGTATAGGTTTATCAGTGTCTGTCTGTCTGTCTGTCTGTCTGTCAGTTCTTGAGTTAATAGGTTGAGGGAAGACTAAGCTATTTCCTCATCATATATAATACCCACTCACACATAACTTAGTCCTCATTTCAGTAAGATTAGGAAAGGCAGCAGCAGAATAAAGACACCCCAAACAGGCCAAATACGGGAGCTAACGCCACAACTATACTTTTACATTCAGACACGACAAACCAAACCACACAACTTAACCAAATTACCCCAACGTAAATAAACTTTGATATATATAAACTAACACCAAACTATTTTATTTATTTATCTCATGTTTATTTATATGTATTTTGTATCTATAATTTCGCCACAAGATACAACAATTTATATACACACACAAGAGACCAGGCTTGTAAACAGCTCAGTCAAACAGGTTCTACATTCAGGTTCCTCCTTGTTGACACGTGAGGCCCAGTGCGGCGGTAATCCTCTTAAGAGAAATAGAGACCCTTGTCAGTCTGGTGGGTGGCGTAATAAGTAGTTTAGAAAAATTGCTTCAAAACTGCATCAAAATAGCCTCAAACTCAGCTAAATATGTTCCTCGTGGACTCAGATGGTGACACACTTAAGATATGGTTTTGAAACGTAAATTACACTTGTTCTTTGTGAAGTAAAATATCAAAACAAAACTAACCCTTCCCGTCTTTAAGTTCTTAAAGCCTGATTTTGCTTTTTATTGTTCTACAGCCAATGAGTTTACGCTCTAGTGATGGAAATAAATAGGTGAGGAGTCGGTGTAGTGGTAAACATCTTCACTACAGTACTGCAAAAGTTCTTGCTACAGCTACTACCCCCCGTTTGGTAACGTCACAACAGTCTTCAAGGCCGCC